GTTTTGCATATCGTTGATTTCTCTTCGGTCCGATTTCTGAGATTATAAATACTCAAACTGTTCAACAATTTTTGAGGTTGTTCCGTGTATTCTTTATTTAGATCAGCTGTTATTTTGAACATGACACAATACTTTTCTAATATGGATCCGTTGAGCGGTTCAACCATACAGAACTGAAAACAACTTTTTCACCTTTTATCAGCGTTTAGATGATTGTCATTAAAATCATTCGTTTCACTACCACATTTACAAGAGGAATGTAACTAGTATTGTCGCAATTCAAAAGGATTGGCTGAAGCTTCTGCGACTTCTTTTTTAAAAAAAGTTGGATCTCACTACTATATTTTTTTCACGAGGGTGTCTAGAAGAAAATAACTTTTTCAGCAGAGCGCACCTTATATTTTGATGCTGCTTTCAAATGTCATTGCTCCGTAATCGTGGCTAGTCAACAAGCATAACAGTTGTAAGCGAGTAACATTCAGCTTCAAAAGAGAAAGTTTGGAATTCCCGAAATTTAGCATTTGAACTCAACTTCCAGCAACTCAAAAATAGTGTTTGTAATTCATTGCCAGTAAAAAAGCAGGGAGAAAAAACAATATAATTTGATGGTGAATCAGGCAATAAAGCGTAACTGCTTCTCAAGTCATTCAATAGTTCCTCACAGTGTGTTCTTCCTCAAAGTGAACAGATCCTAACATTACTATACTACCGCAAATTAACCCATAAGGTGTTGGAAGCCTTGACGGTTAATTTAGGTCTGACTTGCTTAGAAACACGATTGCAAAAATAGTGGCAAATTCTGCATATCTATCGTTTTCAGGTTTCAAAGGTAAAAGCGGAAAAATTTGTTATTAAAAGAACTAAGAATGACAACTAAATTAAAGTTTGACAGTTTTTACCTGAATAAAATGGCCTCCTGAGTGCGTAGCCACTGTCAAAGGCCTCAGCTTTGCTCTCCTGTTCAGTTTTTTTAATCGTTGCCGACGACTCTGTTTTCCTCTAAGACTTTCTTTCTCATATTCGGAGGATGGAGAATTTGGCACGAGATTTATCGGCTCTGAAGCTGCGACGACATTTTTCACAGGGACTTGAACAGCGCTGACGACAAAGCTGGTTGGTTTAATGTTTGCTGCCATCTGTGGCTTTTGTCTGCTTATGCCCAGGACTTGCTGAAGAGGAACTGGAGGAGGAACTGTGGTGGTTACTATGGTAGTCGTTGTAGTTTGAGATTCCGTCGTTGTGAATGGAGTAAACGTTGATGACGCAGTATCGGTAAATGGGGATAAGAACTCGTCCACGCTCATGTCTGTCTCGGCTTCTTCGTCTTCCTGAAACTGTTCATCCAACCCCTGGATGGATAGCTGCTCTCTACCAAACGAGACCGAAATATTAGGGTCCTGATTGTTTGGCAACTGCGGCTCGACCCTTTCTGGTAGGGCAGCTTCAACACTGCTAGGAGGTTCATCAGTTGATGCGTAGTAGAGAACTGGCTCAGTGAATGGCTTGAATGGCTCAGTAGTGGTAGTTCTTTCAGCCGTCGTCGTCGGTGTGGTCTCAGTTACCGTAGTGGAAGTCGTGGTAGGACTCGTAGTTGACGAAAAGATCGGTTCGGTAGTGGTAAGGAGGACTTCACCAACAGGAGCTCGCTCATTGGTATCGTGTAGAAGTTCGACACTCTTTCCGCTTCCGGGAGGTATAACATGAAGTCCTAAAAAATTTTATCTAAGCCATGTAGGAGTATAATATTGTAGCAGGTATCTTTACTGAGACTATAACAATGAAAGCTGTACATAAATTCACATTGTACATTATTATTAAAAATGCAAACCTTCATTGCCCGGAGGCTGTGGATATCGTCTTGCATACTGTGCTATAACGATTGGCTCGCGCGGCTCGACAGGAGATGCTGGACGAATTTTTGTGGGAGTGGGACCTGGAAAATGAAGGTTTATAGCAAGAATAGAAATATGGGTCAGTGCACGTCTACAACATATCCCAGGCAAACTGCAAAATCTCAATGCTTTTCACGAAAATACTTTTCAAGTAAAAACGCGTACTAGAAATCCTTCGATCTACAAGTAAAAAGACTTTCTGGAAAAGCTAAATTAACAAAAATTCAAACAAAGTAGAATTAGCCGTAAAATTGACAAATAATATGAAATATGATGGTAAATTTCTTGAACTGAAAGGAGATTACTTTAACATTAGCCTTTCTTAAATGACATTCTTGGAGTAACACTATCAATTATGAAATGTGGTTCTGGTAGATCAAAAACGAAAATTTGGGCAAAATTGCCATTATTATCTGTTAAATGAGAAGAAATGATGGAAAAGACTGACAAACAGTTGCAATGTTAGCTACTCAGCTGGCCATCCAAACAGTGAAGTCATCAAGTTGGCTATACCTTTTTCTGCTTCCGGCACTTCCACTTCATAGTCTTGATACAGTTGTTTCATAGCTAAGCGCCGATCCTCGCTGTAAGGATCAACGACATCAACATCCGAACCAGCTGGCCTCTGTGGAGTGCGCAACAGAGACGAATCACATGATTGGAATTCCTGGAAATGGGGTTCCTTTGACACGACTACATTAACTTTTGAAAAGTCGAGAGACCCTATAGATTCAAATGTGAGCGATACAGAAAAAAAAAGAAAAA